AAAAAAAAAAAGAAATATCACTAATTTTTAAGGTACGTCTCAACTTCTGCCTTTCTTGAAATGTATATTTGTTCCTTTTATCTCTATCTCCTACAGCTATAATTAGGAGGGTTTTTACTTCGGGAAGTTTGAGATTCTCCACGTTTAAAAGAGAGCACTGGTTTAAGCTATTAAGTGTAATGAAGCTGTCTGACCTCTCTCAGTCTGCTTCAAGCAGTAGAGCAGGGCATTGCCACCCTGATTCAGTGGAATCATGTGGAGAGCTGTTTAAAAACAGATGCCTTGGCCTTCCCTCAGATATTTTATGTCAGAAATGAAAACAAATAAGACTGTACTAAGGTGAACCCGATGTCTAGATAAGAGAACTATTGCACTGAGTCACCCTTATCATTATGCTGTTACTTGTTTCTGTGCACTTAATCATCCAAATAGCTTAAAATAGTAATTTCCAAATATTGGTGGAGGACTAGCTACATCAGTACAGATGGATGTTTGGGCCCCATCACTAAAGGTGTTAATACACTAGATCTGTGGTTATATCCAGGCTTCTGTATTTTTTGAATAATGAAAGAATACTGATATATAATTGGGCTATAAAAATATTGGATGAATGGACTAATGTACCATATTAATTTTTTTGTATATTCCTTTATAATATATATTTTGTATGTGTCCTGTTCAGATATATACATGTCAATATTTGATAAACATTAAGGACCAGTCAGCCATGATGTCCCTTATAGATTACTTTGGAAGCTTCTGGCCAACTGAAATTGTATTTTAAATAGTAGTTGAATGACTGCTGTGTTTAGATTTTTAGATGCTCCAATACTATTCAGTAGTATAGTTTAGTGTTTCATACATTGGTGTATTTTGTTCTATCTACTTTATTTTATTTGAGATTTTATTTATTTATTTGACAGAGAGAGACACAGCAAGAGAGGGAACACAAGCAGGGGGAGTGGAAGGGTTAGAAGCAGGCTTCCCGCTGAGCAGGGAGCCTGATGCTGGGCCTGATCCCAGGACCCTGGGATCATGACCTGAGCAGAAGGCAGATGCTTAATGACTGAGCCACCCAGGCAACCCTAGCTCTTTTATTTTAGATAATAACTTGCTGATCATATGAAAAATTTAGAATGACTAGATTCTTTTTCCTCATATTATTCTGATAAACAAAATCTTGTTTTGTTCTATTATAGAAGCATTATATGACTACTTTCTTGCAGAATGGGACTATCAGAATGTGGCTTTAATAAATTTTTTTTTTTACTTCTGTTTAGTGTTATTCCTCTTTTAAGAGAGTCTGTTGGAATATTAATGCAGAGAACTCCTCCAGTGTTGGAAAATACTCTGCCTCAGTGCTATCAGAGGGTAAGTTTCAAAGCTTCCAAACCATTAGATTTTATGTTGTTTTCAAGCTGTTAGGGATTTTAACTTTTACAAATAAGGGTAGCATATGTGTATAATTTAGTGTTTCTTCCAAGATTGAATGCTAACCATGAATGCCATTTGTACAAACCAGAATAAAATCATTGGAAAATATTGAACTTCACTAAAGAAAATGTGGCAGAGATTGTCCTCATTTAGAATTTGAGCAGTTCTTCTAAAATACGTGTATGAATAGCAGATAATGTAAGCATTTATTCAACATATTTTTTGAGCTCCTACTTTGTGCCAGGTATTCTAATAAGGTACTAAGTATATAAGGGTAAGCAAGACGGAGAGTGTCTGTGTTCAAAGAGGTTGCGGTTTAGAGGGGAAAAACAGGCACTAAACAATAAATTGGTAAATAAGAAAATATCCATGATAGTTACTATAAGAGAAATAAACAAAGTGATGTGGTAGACAGGGGTGATCACGTTAGATTGACTAAGGAAGTTATACTCAAGGATATTGAAACCCTGATGACAAGGAGCCTGCCCTGTGAAAATCCTGTAGAAGAGTGTTTCAGGCCAAGGAACTCTTTATGCTAATGCGAGAGTTCTACGGCTGGAGCTAGTTTAGAGTTGTGAAGACCAGAAGAAAAGGCCACTGTGGCTAAAGCATAGTCAATAAAGGGATGAGTGGCTGGAAAGGCTGGAGAGAATGGTAGGGCCCAGATCATACAGAGATTTGGGTCTTATTTAGAGGTTTAGTTTTAATCTTAATCCGGGGAGAAGTATGACAAAGTTTTTAGGCGGGAAGAGTGTCATAAAACTTATGTTTTTAAAAGATTATTCTGCTTGCTATTTGGAGAACAAATTCCAGAGAGAATGATAGCAAAGAAAACCAGTTATGAGGTTCTTGTCATCTAAGTGGGGAAAAATGGTGGTTAGGACTACCGAGGGAACAGTGAAGATGGAGGTAAGGACACATTTGGGATACATTTTTGGAGATGGATTATGTTAGTGAGGGGGAGAAAAAGTGGTGACTCTCAACTAGGTAGATGCTGGTACCATTTGTTAAGATGTGTTGATCTTAACAGGCTGTGTTGATGCAGGTTTGAGGATGGAAGCTCCCTCCAGATCAAGAGTTCTATTCTGGATACGTTAAAATTGAAATGCCTTCTATACTCTTAGGGGAAATGTCAGTGAAGTAGTTGAATATGCAAATCTGGTGTTTTAGGGAAAGATTGGGACTAGGGAGAGTTTTGAGTCATCGATATATGAATAATATTTAAAATATTGGGGTTATGTGAGATTTCCTTGGGAGAATTCAGCTCTTTTTAGCTTTACTTTTAGCTCCAGGTTTACAGCACAGGTGGTGGAAAGCCAGGAAAGGGAGTGGTTAGGAAGGGAGCTGGAAAACCAGAAGAGGTGGTCTCTCAGAACTGAAGAAGGAAGCAGTGATGCCCTTTCTGTGGGGCGAGCAAAGTAGGAAGAGAAGTGATCATTGATCGGCATCAAGAACACTAATAACTTGATGAGACCAGTTTCAGAGGCATTTGGAAAGGAGACCTTGATTTGAGTAGATTAGGAGAAAATGAGTTGGGGAAGTAGAGATAGTAGCTACAGACAACTCTTTTAAGAAGTATGGCTGTTAAAGGGAGCAAAGAAATGAGTTGACAGCCTGAGTACGGATATAGTATTACGGCAGGGGCTATTTGTTTGTTTTTAAAATAGGATATGCTGGAATAGTGCTGTCCCATGGAACTTTCCCCAGTAATGGAAATATTATATAATCTGCAGTGTCCAGTATGGAAATCACAAGCAAAATGTGGCTGCATACACCAGGTGTATGGGTAGCACAATTGATTTTTTTTTTTTTAAGATTTTTATTTATTTATTTGACAGACAGAGATCACAAGTAGGCAGAGAGGCAGGCAGAGAGAGAGAGAAGAGGAAGCAGGCTTCCTGCGGAGCAGACAGCCAGATGTGGGGCTTGATCCCAGGACCCTGGGATCATGACCTGGGCCGAAGGCAGAGGCTTTAACCCACTGAGCCACCCAGGCGCCCCAGCACAATTGATTTTTAATGTAGTTTCATTCTCCTGTATTTAAATAGCCACTGGTGTCTGGTTATTTCCGTATTACACAGTGCAGTTCAGGAGCATGTTTGTTGATAAGAACCGGCCATCCTAGAGGAAGAAATCAATGATATGGTAGTGAAGGTGGCCACTGCAGGAATGAAGTTCTTGAGAAGATGAAAAGTATTGAACCACGGGCACCTGCATGGCTCAGTCAGTTAAGAGTCAGACTCTTGATTTCAGCTGAGGTCATGATCTCAGGGTGCTGGGCTCGAGCCCTGCATGGAGCCCTGTATTCCCTCTCTGCCCCTCCCACCCACCTTCCCTCCCTGCATGCTCTATTTTATCATTTATAAGGCAGTGTCATCAAACAGATTGGAATGCCAGAGGAGGGGCGCCTGGGTGGATCAGGTGGTTAAGTGTCCACCTTCAGCCCAGCGTGATCCCAGGGTCCCAGGATTAAACCCTGTGTTAGGCTCTCGGCTTAGTGGGGAGCCTGCCTCTCCCTCTCCCTCTGCCTCTTCCCCTGCTTGTGCTCTCTCAGTCAAATAAATAAAGTCTTTAAAAAAAAAAAAAAAAGGTGGGGTGTGCCTGGGTGGCTCAGTCTTAAGTGTCTGCCTTTGGCTCAGGTCATGATCCTAGGGTCCTGTGATCAAGCCCTGCATAGGACTCCTTGCTTAGCAAGAAGCCTGTTTCTCCTTCTTCCTCTCCCTCTGCCTGCTGCTCTGCCTGCTTGGGTTCTGCCAAATAAATAAATCTTGAAAGAAGGAAAGGAAATGAAGGGAAAAGGGAAGGGGGAGGGAGAGAGAGAAAGAAAGAGGAAGAAGGAAAAAGAAAGTATAAAAGGGGTTTTTTTAGATATGGAAAATGAAGTGTTACTCATTTGACATTTGTAGTTATGTTAAGGTAGGGTAGGCATCATAACTATGGAAGAGAAAGGGTCAGTTTATTGAATAATGCTTACTATAAGCTGGTCCCTGAACTAACTGTTTTACATATATGGTTTCTGGTCTTCACCGTATTTATATAGGCTAAGTTTTATCTTCCTTTCCATAGATAAAATCGAGGTTCAGAGAATTTAAGTAACTTATCCAAGGTCACAAATGCTAGTGGCTGAGCCAGAATTCTAGTTCATATCTGTCTGATTCCCAAGCTCATGCCCTTTCTATTATACCACACTGTCCGAATAGGAAAAGCATCTGTGACTACGCTTTCCCCATATTATTTAACTTGAGCAGAGTTGAAGCCAGTTTGTATAGGAGCATTCCTCAGTCTTGGCTACAAGAGTACTTGCACTCTTAGAGGTAGAGGAGATCTATTCAGTCGGTTGTTTTATTCACAGTAGACCATCCCGTGAGGATGCCATTCGGAAACATGTAGAGTGATATCAGGTTCAAGCCACTGTGTCATCAAGAGTCCTGAAAGAGGAAGAATAAGTCCACCTTGACCACTTTAACCAGTAAAAGCAGTTTTTAAAAAGGCTATTGTTAGTATTTTCTCAAATTTCCTACCAACTGTTTTGGAGTTTATAGAAAATAATGCCTACATTGATCAAATTCTGAAAAAAAAAATTTTTTTTTAAAAGATTTTATTTATTTATTTGACAGACAGAGATCACAAGTAGGCAGAGAGGCAGGCAGAGAGAGAGGAGGAAGCAGGTTCCCTGCTGAGCAGAGAGCCCGATGCGGGTCCCTATCCCAGGACCCTGGGATCATGACCTGAGCCGAAGGCAGAGGCTTTAACCCACTGAGCCACCCAGGCGCCCCAAAAAAGAATATTTTTTGATAGGTCTAAGGTCAACTTGTTCTTAATTAACATCCCAAATAGGTTACTTAAAAATCAGAGAATCTCAGAATTGAAAAAGATCTTGTCTTTTTGGTAATAGGCATCCTAACAGGGGTGAGGTGGCATTTTATTGTGGTTTCTGATTTGCATTTCCCTGATGATTAGTGAGTTGAGCACGTTTCACTCTTGGCCATCTGTATGTCTTCTCTGGAAAAATGTCTGTTCCCATCCTCTGTCCATTTTTTAATCAGATTTTTTTTTGCTATTGAGTTGTATGAGTTCTTTTTATATTTTGGATATAAACCTCTACCTTTTGAATTTTTTTTTCTTACCTCTTCAATTTTTAATGGTCCTTTCACATTTTCTATTTTTCTTATATTATGGCATTTTCTTTTTTTTTTTTTTAATTATAGCATTTTCTATATTTCCAGAAACTTATCCATTTTGTCTAGATTTTCAAACTTGTGTGTTTAGTGTGTGTGTGTGTGTGTGTGTGTGTGTGTGTGTTATACACATATACTGTCTCCTTAAAATTACTCTTCTTAAAAGTACTCTAAGGAGTGAGTTTCTAAGTCTTTATACACACACAATCTACTAAGCACTTACTTGGGCCAGACACTGTTTTAGATGGTAAAGATACAAAACATTAAAAAATACACATAGCCCTGCCCTTTTGAGCTTAAGTTCTGCTGGAGAGACAGACAATAAAAAGTATAAATAATATAAATGAATAATACAGTGTGTCATATTATGCTCCAAAAAGTAAAACATAGCAAAGAAACATAAAAATGAAAACATTATTATTTTACATAGAGTAATAGAAGACCAAGAGTACAGGAGCTCCAGTAGCTTACTGAGAAGATGACATCTGAGTAAAAACCCAGACAAAACGAACCCAGTAGAAATGTGGAAGGAAGGTACACTTCAGGCAAAGGGCATAGCAAGTACCTTGCACCAGGAGTGTGCGAAACTCCAGCCAATGGTGAGGAGGCTGATTTAGCTGAGAAAGAGAGAGCATGGGGATGCCTAGTAGGAGAGGAGGTGATTAGGTAACAAGCAGGCCATGTGACATGGGCCCGTATAAGTCATTGTGAAAGCTTTGATTTTTATCCGGAGTAAGGTGGGACGCCACTGGAGAATTTTGAACAGAGGCAGGATCTGACCTAAAGTAATAGGATCGCACGTGGGATACAGTGATGAGAATAGGTGGAAAAGGTACAAGGCCAGAAATAGACCAGTTATTATAATACTATATTCTTACACTTCTACTATTATAATAATTCACACTAGAGATAATGTCAGCTATGCTGATAACGGTAGAGACGGTGAAAAGTGTTTGGATTCCACTTAGTGGCAGTACTTTGTATATTCACAAGCTACACATTCATCAGTATTCCCTTTTATGGTTTTTAAAAGTGGTTGTAGTTTTATTTTTTCATTCTGCTTTTTCTGTTTTGGTTTTATTTTATTTTATTTTATTTTATTTTTAAGATTTTATTTATTTGTCAGAGAAATAGAGAGAGTACAGGCAGGCAGAGTGGCAGGCAGAGGCAGAGGGAGAAGCAGGCTCCCCACAGAGCAAGGAGCCCGATATGGGACTTGATCCCAGGACACTGGGATCATGACCTGAGCCGAAGGCAGCCGCTTAACCAACTGGGCCACCCAGGCATCCCTCTGTTTTGTTTTTAAATCTCCATCAAAGTTAGTCTTGCCAGTGGTTGTCAGCCTTAGGCTGTGGAAACCTTAAGGAGCCATTGGAAAAACTGAGAGATGTCCTTCTTCTTTTTGTTGTAACACGATTCAGAGAAAAGTATATGTTGGCATTTAGCTCCTTGGGGGCTTGGCGATACAAAGGGTCCCATAGCTTCTGACACAGGGAAGAACCGTCCTGTCCTAAATCTGCCTCTTTTGAGAAACACTGATTTTTCTATTTTCAGTAATCTTTCAAAGAACTAGTTTTTTGATATTGTGATTTCTAATAGTTCCTAGGTCTCTAGACCATTAATTTCTGTCCTTTATTACCTTCCTTACTATTTCTTTGAGTTTACTTTGTTGTTCTTCTTGTTTCTAAATGCAAATGAGTTTATACTTGTTTTCTGATCAATGTACTTGAAAGTGTAAATTTCTGTCTAGGTGCTCTCTCAGCTGTGCCCTGCAGATTTTGGCACGTGATCATTCACATTTCCCAGACACCTGCCATGGTCCATAAAGAGTACTCAATAAGTATTTGTTAACTAACTCAAATAATCTCTGACTCCTCCTTTGAGCTAGAGAATAGAATCCATGTTTACTGATATGTCGTATAATAACAGTGTTACATTTAATAATCTAAATAGCAGTTTACTGAACTGTTGACGAATAAAAATAATAAAACAGCATACCTAATAAAACAAGGGGGCCCTTATGTTTGATTACAGTGTTAATATCTGCCCTTTCTGTTCCAGGTGCAGCAGTTGCAAGGAGTTTACAGTTTACAAGAACAGCATTTCTGGACCTTATGTTCTGATGTTTATGTTGGGACCTTGAAATTAGTAGTAGCCCCTGATGCTGATGCCAGGTGGATTTTAAGCCAAACACATAATATTTTTACTCAGGTATGACTTTTTCACTAACTCTTTTAACTCTTTGAATTTATCTTATCTACTAGTTTAAGAAATATTTACTACTTAGCATGTTAAATATGTATGTATATAAATACACGTACACACACACACACACACACACACACACACAATACTATAAGGAAACATAACAGTACTTTCTTTCAACCATACCGTCAAAATTGGGAGTTCTTATTTTAGCTAATACTCTTAAGGAAGATAGTCTCGTTCTGTCATTATACTGATTGGAATTCCTTTAAGAAACAGTAGATTCGGGGTGCCTGGGTGGCTCAGTGGGTTAAAGCCTCTGCCTTTAGCTCAGATCATGATCTCAGGGTCCTGGGATCGAGCCCCGCATCGGGCTCTCTGCTCAAGCGAGGGGCCTGCTTCCTCCTCTCTCTCTGCCTGCCTCTCTGCCTACTTGTGATCTCTGTCAAATAAATAAATAAAAATCTTAAAAAAAAAAAAAAAGAAAGAAAAAGTAGATTCTCCTTTACTGTATACTCCTTATAAGACATGTTAAATGCTGTTTAAAGCCAAGAACTAAAATAACATTTGGAATAAGAATAATGCCTTGTCAGTGGCTTTAGCTAAAAGTAGACTATGTTAACATTTTTTGTGTGATAGCAAAGCCATAGTTTCGTGAGATTTAAAAGCTTAATATGCTATTGTATTTGGAATCATAAATTAGTGCATAGCTTGCAGCCAAATCACTTTACTTGATGCTTATGCTGTCTGAAGTTGACATAGTCATGTGACTGATAATCAACTAGGTATCTGTTGGGAAAATAAGAACATCATGTCAAGAACATCTAAGGAGAGAGTGAGAGAATACAAATTCTTTTTTCATTCTAGTTTGCTGGAAATATTTGGTGAAAAATCTGGATGTTGACACTGCTGCCAAAATTATCTAACACGTAGATCTAATGAGGAACTGTTTCCATGCCTTAAAAATGTGTACTTAAAAACTGGCCTGTGCCTCCTGGTGTGATGCAGTGAGAGTGTGTGGTACTTCTGCCGGAAATGGTTAATCTAATCAGTAGCAAACCACCAGAGTAACCCAGCTTATAGAAACTTGTACGAGATTGTTAGCCTACAAAGGGGGAAGAATAGTGGGAGGTTATGCTAGATTAGAGGAGACTTCACAATTAAATGCAGTGTCTTATCCTTAACTGAATCTTAGATTGGGGGGAAAAAAACAGGCACAGAGGAAATTATTGGGTAATTGGGAAATTTAAATATGGACTGCATAATAGTTCATAATAATTGTGTAGGTGTTAGATTTCTTGGGTGTGATAATGGATTGTGGTTATCGAAGAATGTCCCCATTCTTACCAGATCCATGAAGGAGTTAGTGGCGAAGGATCAGGATATCTAATTTCAAATGTTTCAACAGAAGTACAAAGATTATAAGTAAATATAGAGAAATAAAGCAAATGTGGCAAAATATTAAAGATAGTTGATTTTATTTTTTCAAAATAAGTTAAAAAAAACAAAAACTGGAGGTTCCTCATTGTCACCAGGATAAAACCCAAACTTTCTAGCATGACCCCATTAACTTTTTAAGCCTCCCACTATTCATTCCTATATACCTCATACCCCTGTAGACTGTTCACTTTTCTGTGTGGGACAAAGATCCTCTCCTCTAACATAAAGGCCCAATTTAGTTGTTACTTTCTCTCTGAAGCCTAAAGACCCCTCTAAGCTGCATAACTTCATCTTGTGATACACATATTTATCTGCAGGTTTCTTCCAAACGTCATGATTTTCCATTCTCAATGCTTAAGAAAAATGTATGTGTATAAAAAATTTGTTGAATAAACAAATTCTTCAAACTGTATTTGACCAACACCATCTTTACATGTGCTAGGTATGAAAAAATATGGTTGGGTTCCCATTGGTCTGTTTAACCACAGCATGAAAGGTGGTAATGATATATAGAAATAGAGAGATAGACACACACACACACACACACACACACACACACACACATACACACACACAGAGGGAAAGAAGGTGGGAAAACAGAGGAGAGGAAGAGAAACAGACACATTGTAGCTTCAGACATGGATAACAGAACATAATATGCAGTTTAAATTCAGGATCTTAGCATAAATTAAATGATCTCTCTTCTCTAATAATGAGAAATGTATGGTTATGTTCCTTTGGGGATAAATAATGAAATAATTTTATGTAGGCAACAGCAAGACTTACTCTACTGGGAAGCTGTATGCTGTACCGCTTACTCCAGAATTTTAAGAACTAGGTCTCTTGAACAGACACTCTGAAGTCTGTATATGACTGTCATGTCGCAATGAGGCATGCAAGACCTGCACAGTATGTCTGAATCCTTCTCACATCTCAAAACAGGAGGAGTTTTAGAGGCAAAAGGAGAATGTGGCTGCAATAACCTTGCTTTTTCACTGTCATTTCTAGGTCATCGCTCTCTCCTTTCCCCTGTCTCCTAGTCCTTCCGCCCTCCTTAGTGTGAGCTTCTGTTGACCTCCAGGACATGCCGCAGTACTCTCCCAAGACTTGGGCACTTAGTCACGGTTTTCCCTCTGAAAAGGAATGCTGTTTCTAGGTTTAGAAATGCGCAAGCAGCTGCCTCCGGGCTTAGGAACTGCTGAAGTCGCAACTGCAGTAGGTGGAGGAGCTTCTTCTGGAAACCTTAGACATCTTGGCTTTTACAATGGTTGAAGCTGAAAGTTTATTCAGCTGCTTCTTTGGTTTTGGAATCTGTATTGGGGTTTTGAAATTTTTAAGCTCTGAAAAATATTTTCAGCCCTTTCATCAACCAAGGTCAAGCCCACTCTATTTCATTCCTTGCAGAGCAGGGCCTTGCAGTGAAGATGGTTCAACACATTTTTTCCAGAGGCGAGGAGGAATCACCCTACTAATGACTTATATTTCATACCTTTCATTATTTTCAATTTGCTTAGTGATCATTGTTTTAGTTCCAACATATGCGGAATTGAAGCTCTGAAAGACTAAAAGAAGGATTTCCTCAGTAATAAGTTAATACTTTTTGGTTGTTGTTGTTGTTGCTGCTGTTTTTTAAGATTTTACCTATCCATTTGACAGAGAGAGAGAGATCACAAGTAGGCAGAGAGGCAGGCAGAGAGAGGGGGGGAAGTGGGCTCCCTGCTGAGCAGAGAGCCCCATGTGGGGCTCAATCCCAGGACCCTGAGATCATGACCTGAGCCGAAGGCAGAGGCTTTAACCCACTGAGCCACCCAGGTGCCCCTACTTTTTGGTTTTATGACATTTTCAGGTGTCTTTCTTATAACTGATCTTCTTTTTTTTTTTTTTTTTTTTAAGATTTTATTTATTTGACACAAAGACCATAAGCAGGGGGAACAGCAGGCAGAGGGAGAAGCAGGTTCCCCACTGAGCAAGGAGCCCGATGCAGGACTCGATCCCAGGACCCTGGGATCCTGACATGAGCTGAAGGCAGATGATTAACCAACTGAGCCACCCAGACACCCTTATAACTGATCTTAAATCAGAATTTAAATGATAGTTTGGGTTAAAAAAGTTGTCCTTGTTAAAATATCTGTGAAGACAACTTTAAACTGAAAAAACCAACATCAGTTTGAGAATTACAGCTTTCTTTTCTGTTGATAAAACTCTAAGCTGCATGACTATTTTAGAACTGTATATTAGGCATGGTTTTATTCTCATTTTCCCTGGTATAAGTCTTTAATGGCCAGCTAAAGCTGTGCATTACTAGAGAGTAAAATAAGTGACTGGGTGAACTTAGATTCCTTAAGGATTAATAGGTAAGGGATAATCCAATTTTTAAACTACAAGGTTTTCTGTTGACATAGAAAAAGTTCTCTCTTCCATTCTCCCCTGCACTAACTCTTTAAAAAGGAGTTATCCTTTGGGAATTGATGAAATAGATATTTTTTGTATTTAATATATGAACAAGAAGATTAAGATGGCAGTTTAACATTTTATGTGTCTTTTAAACTTGCTGATACCATCTGTTAATTTTTTAATATACTATTTTGTTAGAAATAATGTTAGAAGAAAAATCTAGAATATGCTTGTACCCTCTTCAGTTCCACAAAGCACAGAAGACAAACCTACTTTGCTCCCTGATAGAACTTTTTTTAAAAAGATCTTATTTATTTATTTATTTGATGCAAAGAGAGAGTACAAGCAAGGGAAGCAGTAGAAGGAGAGGGAGAAGCAGGCTCCCCACCAAACAGGGAGCCTGATGCAGGGCTTGATCCCAGGACTCTGGGATCATGACCTGAGCCAAAGGCAGATGCTTAACCATCTGAGCCATCCAGGCACCCCCCTGATAGAACTTCTATTGTGATTTCCTCATCTTTTCTCCTCTTCTGCCTGTTTCTGTTGTGCATATTAAGTCCTGAACCCCCTGATTCCTGCTTCAGCTTTTGGTGCTCTAGCCTCTAGCCTCAAAATAGAAGTTCACACTGATACCCAGGAAGGAACCAGAAAGCCTCCTCCCATGCCCAAATGGGAGTTCCCCGAGTTTTAGGAACCTCACCAGCCTCCATGCTCTTGATCCCTTCCTGCCTGACTACTGACCCCGCCCAGCCTCCTGTCTGCTGGAGGGGAAGGGCAGTGAGTGGGAGAAGCTACTTACCCCTCTCCTGGGGGCTAGCTAGTCTTCCACCCTGTTTGTTTTCCTGTCTGTAGAAGGTTTTCATCTGTCCTAAGTGTCAGTTCTGCTTGCCAACTCTGCAGCTTCTCCTTAGCCAGTTTTCCATTTTCTTCACCCTGTGTGCTTGATGCCCACCAGAACTTAACCTCCTGAGGAGGTTGGAGTAAACGGCCATGGGATGGGAGACCAACAGGCCCCTACGTTCGTTGTTTTTAATTAATCCACAAGGTTTAAGCCCTTACTGGTTGGTTGGTAGAGAGCAGAAACAGCAGCAGCAACAGCAGCCGGGCCTTCAGTGAGAGCCCACCACACACCAGGCGCTGAGACAGCTGCTTCACGCCTCGCCCCAGCCTCCTGCAGAAGAGGTGCTGCTATTTGTAGTTTATAGAAAAAGGAACCCAGGCCCAAGTTACTGCTCATGACTTACCGTTTCATCATATTCACTCACTGTTTCACTAATTCTGAGACGATTTAGGTTTCACATGGAGGACGAAGGCAGTTTTCAAGACTTCATTTTAAAGGGATAAAGATTAATGTTATATGTTCAGTCAAAAACTAAAGTATAAAGTTTCTGTGGAATTGGTAGAGAATATAGACAAACCAATACTTTTCTATAGCCATATTCCTGCGTGTTTTTTTTCTTTTCTTTCTTTCTTTTTTTTACTCCTGATTTGTTTCCTTTCCGCAACGATGAACATTGATAATGAGGATATTCTAAGTCCGCGGCACCAGGTTCACATTTATTTTCTTAGGAGCACATTGTGTTAAAAATGTCTTAATGATTCAAAAAGTATTGACTGAATCATGGTTTACATGACTCTTACGATATAAGACACAATATTATATGGTTTTCACTTGTTAAAGACAAGGCTTTTAAAGTCCAGGCTCCAGCTCCCAGTGCCATCCCAGCGGTAGAGTGTTTGATGCAACGGAGCCCTGTTTTGATCTGCTAGACTATTTGTCTTGTGTTTATGGTGTGGATAAACTGTATAGAAAACCTAGTTTGCATTCAGGGAGTAGGTGACTCACTATAGGATTCTTTGGAAATTCTGCTTTTCTTTCTACTTTAAAGGAAATTGAGAAAGGAATATGGGACGGTAGAAAACTTGAAGCCATCCCCCTCAGGACAGCTGGATGAAGCAAAATGACTTTTTCTGTTAGACTGACTTTTTATGTAAATCTGTAGCCCCTCAGGGGAAAGATACAAGCTTGAGTAATTAACTCATGATTATGCAAAGATCAATTTATCTAGCCTCTTTGTTTTTCCTCTTTTTTTTTATTGCCTTGGGCTAACCTCATTTCTTATTACCATCTTCACTGTGTTAGTCTGGGGCTGAGGGAAGTGGCAGGGATAGTAATAGGAAACCAACTTACTTTGCCCATTTTACTTTCATTAACAATTTTGTTAAAAGAGAAAAGGAGAAAAGGAATTAAGCCAATTTACTTGGGCAGCAGTTTTTTTCTTAAGGTTAGATATAGAAGAATTTTGCAGAAGAGTTCCTTACTTATTTCAGAGACCGTCTCGGTTGAGTAAATCAGATATACGTACAACGAATCATAATAGTTTATTTAAATAGCCTTTTACAGCATATGAAAACCTTTCTCATATATTCATATACAATCCTGCATTGCAACAAGGGTTTATTAAATACATGTCAAATATTAGATGAACAAAGAACAATTTCATGAGATAGGTAAACTTGGTATGTATCAATGCTTTTAAAATGAGAAAAACTGAGATTTGATTTTAAATCTTAACTCAAAATCATGCAGATGTTGAGTTGTCTTTTTTCTGCCATAAGCCTCTTTAAGGAAAGGCTGCTCTTAAATGTAGTTTCCATAAATTTGAATAACAAATAAGCAGTTTTGCATAGCTTTAACTTGACCAAAGCAAGGATTTTTAAATTTTATTTCATTATTATTATTATTATTACTATCATTTTTTTTTCATTTTTATTACTTTTTTTTAATGAGGCAAGAAAGCTAAAACCTCTTCTGTGCTGATAAGCTTCTAGGGTCTACTCAGCTTTTTATCCCATTTGAGTAGTTCCTGCTCCTCCCACACATTGATTCGTGTTGTGCGGAGTCCACCTATTTGAATGCTAAGAAAAAAAGGCCATGCTAGAAATTACTGTAGTGTTAATCCCCGACTGATTTTTTTTCTCTCTCCATTAATATTCTAATTTACCTTTCATTCTTTGGTACTGGCAAGAAAATGTTTATTGTAACTACTGTATGCTTTAATTTTTAAAAGTTATTTTTGTTTGAAAGGAATTTAACAGAATTTCTGTTCATCCAGTAAACATTTACTGATCAATTACTATGGGCCAGGCACTATTTGAGGTACTAGGAATCAGCAGTGGAAAAAAAAAGACGAAATCCTTGTTATGTAGAGATTACGTTATAACGGGTGAGTGACAGTAAACATAGCAATGGAGGTGATGTAAAATGATCAGGTTCTGGGATTGGGCTACTTTGAAAGTAAGGCAATCAGGTTTTCCTAATGGGTGTGAGAGAAAGAAAGGTCTTTAGGTTGTAACACTGAGGATGGCATTGAGCCATAGAATATACAAGATCACCAGGCTTTCAGGGAGGAAGTCAGACATCTAGGTAGAACTGTGAAGTAGATGGCAGGTAGGTACCAGTGGGGGAATACAAGTGTGGGAGGTGTGAGCATGCAGATAGTACTAAAAGTCTGGATACTAGATGAGATCAGCTAGGGAACAAATGGAGAAAAAGAAGGAATCTGAGGACTGAGCCTTTAAGTATTTCAGTGCTAAGTGCTCAAAGGTAGGAGGAAGAACCAGCAAAGGAGACTGAGGAAGACTGATAATTGAGGTGAAAGGTCACCAGTGAGTCTTCTCTGAAAGCCAAACGAGAGGGAGGTGTTTCAGTAGGAAAGAGTATGTGCCCATGTCCTTGCCTTTAGAGTAAATGTTTAGAGGATGGACAGTACTGGTCCAAGCAACTTGGAGGTGACCTTGACCAACAGCTCTGCAAAGTGCTGGCTGGCAAAAGTTCAGTTGAAATGCGTTCAAGAGAGAATAGAGAAAAGGAATTGTAGGCAGCAAATGTACAACAATTGATAATATAGGAGAGCTGGGAGCAATTTTGAAAGCAGTCCTTGAATAGCGGGTTCATATCCAAAATTGAAGAGAGGCGTTAGAATGTAATTAAATAACCAACAGATGGTCCTACTTAAGTGTTTGCTCATCGTCTGTCACAGGAAGATTGAGACTGAATCAGTTTATAATTTTAGTAGCCAGTTAGGCAAGCACTGTGCTGTTCGCTAGCAGAGTACCAGTAGATGGGTAACCTTACTGTTCCAGATTTTACTTGGACACTGTTTATAATCAAGAGCATGGCTTCTGTAGAGGTAAATGGAGGATCTTTTTGCAATTATGAATATAATTATTTCTAAGATAAAATGACTGGCCCTTTCTGATGAAGAATGGAGAATTATTTTCCAGAGACAGAAAAGAAAAATAATGCTTTCCTTTTTCAAAAAAAATGAGATTTTTTTTGTTTTCTGTTACTTTTCTAAAATGTATAGGGTGCTATTGATTGGTTCGACTTTCTGATTTTTTTTTTTTTTTTTTTTAACTTTTCAGGCTGGAGTGAGACAGCTTTATGTACAGATTGATTTTGCGGCCATGTAACAAATGAAAGAAATTATCCTTCTTGGGGGACCTAATATTTCCGGTACTGTACAATTCAAAATGTTGTAGCTAGCTTTTTAAAACAGAAAACTCGTCACTACAATTCCCCAGCGCCAAGTAGACCAGGTAGTGTCGGCAGTGGTGCTCGGCCAGGAGCACACAGCTAAGGGAGCAAAATTAAGAGGATCTCTCTTGGACTTTTGGTCTTGTCTTTTGTGCTCTTCCCTCCAAACCATTTTGATTTCTGACATTTGTAGTTTTGTCCCAGAATGTTATTTTTTGTTTACTGGTTTTTTTCCATTTCAAAAATGCCCTCGCTCCCAGTTGTCATCCTAGCCAGTACAAATCCAGATGCTGGGCGTCCAGTCATCTGGAAAGTCTTCACTGAAGCTGCTGGAAACCACTGCTTTCATTTACACAAAACTAGTGTTATTTAAAAAAAAAAAAAATGGAAATCGTTTTATATGTAATGTCACGATGGTTGACATTCTTCAGTATAATCATATGTTTGTAAAATTGTTTGTACCTTGCAAACTTATGAACCAAACCATATTGGGTTTTCAAAGTGCCTTTGTATCAGAAAATATATTTGCCAGCATAAAAATGTACCATCAAAGGTCATGTGTATGGTTTTTTCCAATGGATAATTCTATAATCTGTACAAAGTGTAAGACTCTTCTAAGTGATGTATACAGATTGTGTGTACTTCCAGCCTAGGTTTATATATATGAAAAGTTTTCTCTTACTACTCTGTCTGATCAAAAAATAGGTGTTACTTTGCTTTTTAAATCAAATTCAGTTACCACATTATTCTGTGGACTGTGTTTTCAAAACTTTGCAAGCACATGTTATATAGACGATTGTTTTGACTTACTTAAAACATTTGCTGAATCCCAAATTTCTCTGAAAGCTACTGTGTCTGTGAAAACTTCCCTGTGTGTCTCTTTGTTATTTTTATGGGTTTTATTTTATTTTTATTTTTATTTTTTATTTTTTTCTAGTGGGGGGGCAGAGGGAGAGAAAGAATTTTTTTTTTTTTTTTTTAAGATTTTATTCATTTATTTGACAGACAGAAATCACAAGCAGGCAGAGAGAGAGGAAGGGAAGCAGGCTCCCCGCTGAACAGAGAGCCAGACGTGGGGCTCGATCCCAGGACCCCGGGATCATGACCTGGGCCAAAGGCAGAGGCTTAACCCACCGAGCCACCCAGGTGCCCCGGAGAGAAAGAGTCTTAAGCAGGCTCCACGCCCACCATGGAGCCTGGCACCAGGCTCTATTATACAACCCTGAGACAGTGACCTGAGCCGAAATCAAGAGTCAGACGCTTAACCCACTGAGCCACCCAGGAGCCCCTATGGATTTTATTAACGAAAGGCAATGTAGAGGGAAGGCAGAAATGGTTGTGACAATGTTACTTTGTTTTCTCATTCTTCAAATGCTAAGTCATACAATTTGTTTTCCTGTGCAAGCATTGCACAAATACAGTTGCTTTCAAAAATCCTAAAAGCAACATTTTATTGAGTTTGAACTATTGAAGATACAGATCAATTGTGATAAAACAGGTGTCTTAGAAGTTAATAAGTTGATTTCTAGGTTTTTGTGTATTTGAAAAATAAAATTGTGATTTGAGATGCAAGTGCTTGAACACTCAAATATTCTCTGTGTTTTTGAAGAAATATTGATCTGGAGAGATATTTACCCATTGTTCTTCATTTTATCACAATGTATGTTCCCTCTTAACTTTAAAAAAACGAGAGTTCTTGGGGGGAAAAGCTCTGCAGGATGGAAATGTGATTGTTTAGAATGTAGGCCAATAATAAGCACTTTTTCACTGATGGGGCAGAAATCGCTGTTGATTTTGTGTAAGTTTTAGAATATCTTTCTCCTTATTTCTGATCTACAGTTTATGAACGAAAGTGTATTAGGAGAACTGGACTACTTTCTTTATGTTTTCCCAAACTGCTGCAGATTGCTATGAGCTGTTGATAATCCCCTTTTTGCAGATCAAGCAGTATTTTCAAAACATGTTTACTTACTGCCAGGCAGTTCTAAAGCTTAGAATTCCTGCAGTAGAATGTGTTTAACTAAAACAGTTCTTGAGAGTTTGGGGAGGGAAAGTATAAAAGGAAATGTTCTGATAAAGTACTGTTTTTTCATTATATGTGTAAATGGCCATTTGGAAGTTTGTATCCGCTACCAAGCCTGGGATATTGTGTGCATTTTGGCATATTGTGGAAAATGTCAGATCTAGAGGAAGGTGGGAATTTTGGATGTGTGCCTTTAAAAGCTAGTATTATATCTAATCGTACTGATTGTTCACATATGGAGACAGTATTTGCACTGGCCTGTATACCTGACCAGGGCATTCTGAGGGTCGAATTCTGCCTTTCATCAGGCCCTCCATTCTATGCGAAAGTATGCATCATTTTAACTATACTCTGAATACACAAGTGCATGCATATGTGTTTTTTCTTTGATAATCATCAAGCATACAGATGATTAGACTGATATGGAACTCTAATTTTGCACCTTATTTAAGAGATTTCCAGCTCATATCATTTGGCAGGTTGGCATTAACATTTATGCTTTAATTAAATGTCCTTAAACCTGTGTGTGCAGCAGTGACAAATCAGTGTGAGAAAAAGCAGTTTTGTTCTCATTCTAACAAATATTCTGTCTCACCTGTGTTTTTGGCACAGGTCTAGTGCTAAAGTAGGTAATTTCACTGAGAAACTACCTGATTGTTGTAATAGATGGGAGAAATAGATGTAGATGTAGTCTCTTGGGGTGGGTGGGAAGGCAGGCAGTGAGTCTCTGAGTATAAGTTTGCTCGTATTTTAAAAATCAGAATATTCCCTGGAGAACAAATTTGTTTTGCTCTGGGAAAGTTTACCTTGCTTAGTAAACATCCCCAAACAGAAATACACCTATATTAGTTTTGTGTTTTAAAATCTAGATTATATTACTCAAAGGGCTTACCATATGTGTGGCTTTATTTTGCTGACTCCCTGTGCACTTTTGTGAAGGACAGTGTGTAGTTCAACTGTATCTCTGTATTCCTGTCATCGCTGAGCGGTTTTCTGCAGAGGCATAAGCAAGCAGCAGCAGACGTTTAGTGACATCGGAAAATCCCTTGTCTCCAGAGGCTTCAGCATTCTTCAAAGCCTCCGTGTAGACACCAGTAACCAAAATACTGTGACTCGTATACCTTGTAAAGCAGCCCAGTTGGTGACTCCAAATGCAGTTGATCAGAGTTCTATAATATTTTTACCTATGGAATTATCAGTTTTATAAAGATTACTAATATGGTGGCATCCTCATATAATGCTGGGATTTAAGAGCAAAAACACGTCATTGCTGAACACAGAATTTTACATCTAAGGGACTGTCCTTAAAAGCAGTCTCGTTCTACCTCTCATTTTACAGATGAGAACATTGAAGCCCAGAAATGCTGTCATTTACTCAAGGTCACAGAGATAATTAGTGGCAAAGCCAAGACTAGAATCCAGGTCTTCTGACTCCAAGTCAAGTTCTTTCTATTCTACTGTGCTGCCTCTCCAGTGTAATATTTGCCTTTCTGTAAATGTGATGAAAAAGCATTTGTAAATAAAGGAAAGCTGACCTCCATTTTTGGTACATTAAGGCACTTTATAATGGAGTTTTATTGTCTTATTTTTCATAAATATGAGGTTCAGAATATTATTTCCATACTTCCATTATGAGGTTTAGAATATTCTTTATGGAAAATAATAATTTTTGTACTCTTTTACTTTTTTACTCTTATGAAACCAGTTCCTGATTTTTAAAATATGATGACATCTGTACTTTGGATACTTTTAACTTGTGAGTGAATTTTTCTGTTAATTGCCAAAGGCTAAATCCAGTTTAAGGATTGCTTAGTTTCTTTATTTTGTTTATAGTCTGTGAGTGGGTACTTTCTAGAAACCAGGCTAATTCTCACAGGTCATATCATATCATTTCGGTCTTGATACTTCAGTTTTCACTTACTGGGGAGGTTTTTGGATTTTTAACATTTATCCTCAGAACCACACAAAATCGGGCATTAAATGAAATAGAGAACAAAACAAGTCTTTTAATTCAATAGGGTGAAATTTTGAAGTCTTACCAGAACCCCAAATGTTAAATTGCTTACTCTCAACGTAAAAGCATTACCTTGATAAAATTGAACTTTTTTCTTTCTGTTACCATCTTCAAAACAAGAAATCATTTTCCAGTTCACAAGAACTTTGGCAAAAAAAAAAAAAAAGAGAGAAATTTTATTTTTTGAGAACAGTCATTAAAAGTTTTATTAATAGAAGAAGATTGTCTCAAGACATGACCCACCAGCAGCCTTAGCGATCCAGATCTCTACCATGGAGATAGACTGACTTACAGTGAAAAATTATGTATCAAGAAAGGTATCTGCTGAGAAGTATCATTATATCTAAAGGCCAAATGGATGTGAGTCTTTTTGATGAGGGCATCTTTGGTTTGTATTTAACCATTTCCCAACTACAAATTATATGGAAAGGGTGGGATTCAACCTTTATTAAGTATTTCTGTGTCTTTGTATGGCCTTTTCCGTGTTGTCACGTTTGAAAGCCTCACATTTCAATAAAGAAAGAAATTTTGCATGCTTTTATGATGGACGGAGCATTTTCAAATTCCCTCCCTGGGGAAGGAATTCGTAACCATCACCGCATTTTACAGATGAGGAAGCTGTTGTGGGAGAACTTAAATGACTTGCCTGAGGGATAGCCAGTGGTAACGCACTGACTTTAAATCCAGAGCTTTTTTTGATGACGGCTCCGTTTTATGTATATCATTCTACAGTGGTAAAAAGATACAAGAGGTTGTAGCAGATTTGAACAGACTCTCCAATAAAATAAATGAACAATTACCGTGACAAAACTGATTATGGGGTAGCAGTTGTTACATATACATTGCTTAAACTCATTCCTTCGTTCAGTGCTCTCATGCTTATTTCCTACCTTTGCCATTGAATTTAAACTGTGCAGACTAAAAAGAATAATCAGAACTCCTTTAAGAATTTTTAAAACCTTTACAAAAGAAAGTTTTACTGATGCTCAAAGTTGCTTAAAAAAGGGACTGACTCAGAAGAGAGTCCTTGCCAGTCTAGATGTTAAGTAAAGAGAAACTGAATCTATCCTGGCCAAGAGAGGTTAACATAATTGTTGAGGGAATTATCTTCCAAGAATAATTTGTGCTGCTTGAGAGGGATCTGAGGATGTACAACATTACATTTTATAGACACCTTTCTGAGGAAGAAATCTATTTTATAATTAGTAGCAGTCTATGCTTAGTAATAGTATTGAATTTTGAACTCTTCCCATGGCTTTGAAAATTTAGTACTTGGCAATTCTGATGATGTTGGAAAGTCTGTAGAAAAGAATGCCTTGTCTCATCATCTATCTCATTATCCCCAAACTTAGTATGAACTTCCACTTACATGCTCAGTAAATGATTAACTAGTGAGTAAATATTGTAGGTAGTAGTGGATACAAAACTAATGGTTGGGGACAGATAGAACCAGTGATTTATTATTACAGAAGACACCTCAGCTTTTCTTTGGCATTTTTGCACAAATAAGTGACTTTGTATCAACTTTGGCCATTATTTTTCAAGGAGCCCTGTGAGCTGCTTCGCTATTTTAATTCAGGCACAGTAGACATAAAGAGATGTTATCCATGTTTTTGGATAGAAATTTGGCAGAACTGAGACTGGAAGCTGGGTCACTTGAATTTTTACGTTATGTATTGCCAAATGAGAAACCACATTGCCTCCTTGGTTTCTATGGAAAATTGCCATATTGATATTACTTTAAGGATCTGTGTATGACATGCCTTGTTTCATTTATCTCCAGATATATTATTATCCAAAACTCTTTCAGGGGTATAACCTGAAGGTGCTTCTAAAAAAAAAAAAAAAAAAAAAAAAAAAAAAAAAAAAACACTACATATATTCATTTAGTGATTTAAATATTCCTAGAACAGTTTTTTTTCTCTTTTTTCCCTTCTAAATACCAAATTTTAGTAGAGCTTCTCTATATTTCTTATTTTTCATCTTTTAATTGCTGCTGCCATGGTAAAATTTCCCCTTTTTACTAGTGAAAAAGAAAAAAAAGCTTTATTTTTAATTTTAATATTGGAATTTTGTTTAGGTACCACATATCATGTATCAATTAGCCTCAGTGAAGATTCTGTTTTGACTAGATGTATCCTGTCAGGAGTTTCCCAAATAATCACATTGCTTCCTCTAATAGCAAAAATTCTGTGATATTTCTTCCCAAGTGATATTTTGCCCCAACACTTGTGAGTTTGATCAATAAACAGAATCGATCTTTAATATCGGAAATACTGTGAATTAAAAATTGCCAAATCCCTTCTCGATATATTCCAAACATGCCTACAACACTTTACCTCCCTGTCTTTAATGGTTTCTAATCACATGACCAAGTTTGACTTTGGATTTGATTCCTATATGAAGATTTTGGCACCAAGACATTTCTAAACAAACATTTGAATACAAGGCTAGATTGGAATGTCAAATTTCAAGGACTGTGTTGTAATTTGGTTTGGATGTGCTAAAGTGAGCAATTATGATTTGCCTAAATATACAATGAATCCATCATGTATATTTCATTTTTTTTCTACTTGAAGATATTCATGTATATATTTTAACTTCAGGTGTATTTAAAAAGAATAAATAATTGTATCAAAATTCTTCCAATAAAATTTGTTTCAAAATCTTCACCTGATTTCTGTCTATCAGTTTGATAAGTTGAAAGGAATATTGTGAACCTAACAATTACTGGATTCAAAGCTAGAGGACTTGAGGAATGAAAGGGAAAGAATGGTGTTCAGGACCAGAAAATGGGAAAACTCACCAGAGGGAGGAGATACTAGGAGATTGGAAAGGTCTTAATATGTGAAGGTCCTCCTTGTAGTTCTTATCCATTATTTTACTTTATAAAGACATCTTCCAGTATTTATTTCCAGATATTTGCATTAACTCCAAATTCTTCTTTTACCTCATTCTCTATGCATGACCTCAATTTATAGGAAATAAAAACTAAAACCAACATGAGCCTCTGTTATCTTTCCAAAATTCTCCCCCTCTAATCAGAAGCAATAAAAAAAGCTTTTTTTAATTTATTTTTTTACTTCTCCACAAAACCCCAGATCCCATTTATCCCATCCTCTCAAACATACTCTTCTATCAAAGCAGCCTCTTTACTATCAATCTTTGCCACACAATAACAGCTTTATATCCAGTGTGTGTGCTGTCAAATACCTCATATGTGGTCTGAATGTGTTTCTAATGTGTCCTTTCTAACTATTTCCATAGCTCCTACTAATATGGCTTCAGTCCTCTTTATTTTGTAGAAGTTAATCAAAGGCTCTTAGTGGCTTCTTGTCACATCCATGGCAGAACTACTAACATCTCAACATCAACAAAGAGAAAATAATTTATTTTTTCCACTCAAGTAGCTTTACAACTACCAATTTCTATCAGAATCCCTTACTTAGTTCCTGGATATCTAAACATTGCCTTTGTCCCCTTCATTTCCTAGATTCCCTATTGCGAAGTCTTTCCTTTCATTCCTTTGAAATCTTTTATATTCACCTTTTCATTCCCACTGCCTTATTCCAGGACGTCACTGATGACTCCATGCAGTCACTGTGGAATGATCTAGCTTCCCATGCCTGGGTTGAGCCATGTCCATGACACCCCCTCCTCCAACTGTCAGCACAAACAATTCTGGCCTTAGGCAAGAAGTACGAGGAATTTTTGCTGAATCAGACTTTTTAACCCAGGTACTCTGGAAACATTTCCTCTATCCTGGCTTCCTGATTACCTTCTGCTGGCCCTTCTGCACACTGGACTTTGACCTGCTAGATCTAGAGCACCTATGAGGGACTCCCTGTCTTTCCCGTGTTCTCTAGAATTAGCCTCTCACCTAAGAGAACTCTGCAGTGGCCCATCACCACTCCCTCAGAGCATCCTCTTCTGTTTACATGCTGGTATAAGCAAGTTATGTATTATAACACCTCACTACCCAATCTTTATCTAGGGTTTTGTTTCCTTCCCCACAGAAGCCACCCTATGTTGTACTGACAGACTAGGTAGGCTTCTCAGTTTCCACTTTCAGTCCTCCAGCTCAGGAATTGAGCACCTTCCTAATGCTCACCAAATACAAATCCTCTGAACAACTTTAGAAACTGTAATGCTTTTCCTCTCCTCCTTATCCAATCTCATTACCTACAGTATGACAATAAACTTGTCATTAAACCACAGAAAGAGCAGACAGGCAGAGACCAACTCGTCCAATAGATGCAGATAGAAGGACAGCACTTTAGTATTTTTCGTTCTGTAAAAAGGAAGGAAGGAAAGAAATGAAAGAAGAAGAAAACAGCATATCAATGGGATTCCAGTTCATTCAAACAATCTATTCACTCAATCAGCCCTATTTCAGGTTTAAAACAAAAACCAAAACAAAACAGAACAAAAAACTCTACCATAAAGTTCAGGCTTAGCACATGCTGCTAACATTTAAATGTACATTTCAACTTAATCTGCTAAATTCCTATAACCAAGAGAAGTAATAAAGTTAACAGATAATACTCAAATGCCTTGAGTCTGGCACACTTTAGGCAATCAAAATTTATTGGAAAAAATGATGAATTTAATATGAAGATTAATTCCTCCTTGGAAAAATGGTTCTGTATGCATTGTTAAAGAAAACTGCATTCTGTTTGTAAGACAGCAACTGCTAAAACAAAAAATATAAAAACAAAAGCATTCAAAAGAGTATCTCCTGAATATAGGCAGACAATAGTATTTTTAAAGGGTAACATTGTATAAATAAACATGAAATTCAGATTCACATCTAATCAAAGTAGTTTCACAACAATTAAAACCCTACCATTTGGCTTGGACTTTTGAAAATATAGTACCACTTCCAAAATGATAAGTAAAATAGTAACTGTCTGATGAGCCGTCACTGTTTTCCCACCATAGGCATTAAGTTAGATCAAACTGTTGTTCAACTTTACAGGGGTTATCTGTCCTGTATGTGTCTCATACTACTTCCCCTTGAGCAGTAATCTCTACGCAGATCGTAGATTTCTACAGAACTTCGAAACAAGAGTAAGTTACTACATTTGTAGTTCTGTTAGTTGGAGCAAAGACTTCCTATTGGCATCCAAACACTTCCCCCCCCACCCCAAGCAGTTCTGCAGTGGTGGCCAAAAACGATGAAATCCCATAAGAGCTATATACAAGAGGAGGGAATTTTTCTCTGTTTAGTGGACCTGTAGTTTCAAAAGTGTAGAACAAGTCCGTCTGCTTTTTTTCTTTCTGTCCCTCCACATGGGTTAGGATGTAGGCTAAAGTATGAAGGTATGAGACAGAGCAACAATGTAGATTAATAAGAAACCCAAGTTTATGGGCAGAGGTTTGAGAAGGGGATCCTAAGAAACCAGGAAGCAGCAGAGATCATGGCATGGGAAGGACACAGCAAAGCAACCTCATAAAGTTGTTTATGAACCCTCAAGTCACTAATGCTTGGATATGACCCTATTCAGCATACCAGAACATCTTCAGAACTAAACTATCCAATCAGCTAGGTCCCAAACTGTCTAGGTCCCTTACTGAGGGGCACAAACCTGAAATAAATCCAAAGAAAAAAGCAATCCTTGAAAACTGAACTGATATAGGAACCATAGCCCACAGAAGTTAATTAGCAATTACATTCTGAACCTAATCAGGTTGATTTCCTACTAGAACAAATTGCCATTCTCCATAGAATCTGAACAAGATCCAGAATCTCATAATACTCACAATGTCCCACTACAATAAAAAACTACTCCACAAAGTGCCACAAAAATTTCAACTAGTGGAAGAAAAAAAATCAACAGATGAGGCTGAGATGACATCAATATTGGAATTATCTGACAAAGACTCTAAAGCAGTCATTATAAAAATACTTGAACAAGCCATCAGAAATAATCTTGCAACAAATATTAAGACAGAAAATAGAAGATATAAAGAAACAAATGGAAATTTTATACCAGTAACAAAACGAAAACAAACAAAAACCCAAACCACACAGAATGGATTCAACAGAAAATGAAGATAGGAAAAGAGTCAATGAATTTGGAGATCAATAAAAGTTAACCACTCTGAATGGCAGAGAAAATAAACTGGAGGTGGGGGGGAACAGATTTCAGGGACCTGTGGCATAAGAAGAAATGTCTAACATTTGTTATCAGACCCCTGGAAAGAAAAGACTCTGCATACCATCCTGAACTGGACAGTGCTGGAAAAATATTTGAAATAATGGCTGAAAACTTCCCAACCTGGCAAATAAACCTACAGATTCAAGAGGCTATAAGAAACTCCAAAAACAACAAATCCCCAAATATCCACACCTAAACACATCATAGTCAAATAATTTCGATCAAAATCTCACAAGCTTTATTATAGATATCAACCAGTTCATCCTAACATTTATATGGAAAAGCAAAAGAATGAGAATAGATAAAACAATTTCAAAAAAAGAAGAATAAAATTAGAGGAATCACATTCCCTATTTTTAAGATTTACCATAAACCCAAACTAGTCAAGATAATGTGGTATCACAGAGGGGAAACATAAATTAACAAAACAGCAAAAAGATCCACACAAATATGGCCAACTGATTTTTGACAATGGTGCAAAAACAGTTCAATAAAGAAAGGACAGTCTTAAAAAACTAATGGTGAAAGCTAAAGAAAAAAAAATAAAAACTAATGGTGTTGGAGCAATTGGACATCTATATGCAAAAAAAAGGAACTTGATATTAAAACTCACACTTCATACAAAAATAAAGTCTAAAACTAGATCTAAATGTAAAATGCAAAACTATAAGAATTTTACAAGAAAAGATAGGACAAAATCTACATGTCTTTCAGTTTGATGATGGGTTCTTAGATATGGTAACAAAACATAATCTACACAAGAAAAAACTCATAATCTGTATTTCATCAAAATAAAAAACTTTTGCTATACCAGACACGGTTAAGGGAATAAAAGGACAAGCTACGTGTTGGAAGAAAATATTTACAAATCACATATCTATCTGACAAAGAATTTGTATCCAGAATATGCAAAGAATGCTCAAAACTTAAGCATAAGAAAACAAAAGACATGAATGGATGTTTCACTAAATAGGATATAAAAATGATAAATAAGCATGTGAAAGATGTTAACATCACTGCACTAGCAAAGTGCAAGTTAAAACTACCACAACACACTTATCAGAATAGCTAGAATAAAAAATACTGCCAATATGAAATACTGGCAAAGATACAGAGCAATGGGAATTCTTTTACAATACTGGTGAGAATGCAAAATGATAGAGTCACTCTGCAAATCATCTCAGTGATTCCTTATAAATATACATTTACCACATGACCCAGGAATCCCACTCCTGAGTATCTACTCTGCAAAAATAAAAACTCATGTCATGTAAAAATCTGAATGGTGCCTGGGTGGCTCAGTTGGTTGAGCAACTGCCTTTGGCTCAGGTCATGATCTTAGAGTCCCAGGATCGAGTCCTGGGATAGAGTCCCACATTGGGCTCCCTGTTGGGCAGGGAGTCTGCTTCTCCCTCTGACCTCTCTCCTCTCATGCTCTCTTTCAAATAAATAAAATCTTTAAAAAAGAGAGATAATTAAAAAAAAAAACAGAATGGGAATCTTTTAACTCT